GCTATTGGATTGTCGTGCAAGTATTGATACAAGTCCCCAGATGTCAGTGAGGAGGATTTTGCAGGGTTGACCAGACAGAGTGTGCTTTTGCATTTCAGGTGCCTGTTGAAGTCAGTTGATCTATGCAGTTTTATTCTTATTAGGCATTTTTATAATTGTTTACTACACTTGAGTGTCTTGCTAGGCTATTTCAGAGAACAGTTACTAATTTGTCATATTACTGTGGTTCTGGAGTTATATTTAGACTAGGTCAGGTCACGATGGCAGAGTTCCTTCCCTGCAGGAATTAATGAACCGATTTTGTCTTAATGATAATTGATTTGATTCATGATCACTAACACTAATGTTTAAAATTTGAAAAGTATATATTTAAATTTCTGAATTGCTATTTTTGAGTTTCAGTCAAAAGAGACAACAGTGTTTAGTACTGGCAATGGAGTTCCACCTTTGGGTTTGAAAGTAGGGTGTTTGGGGTCACCCACTTTGGCACCACCAGAACCCAGGGTTCAACTTTGTCAGTGGCAGCCAAGGATGTCTTCCCACATCAAAGAGCGGTTGGCCAATCACAGGAGCTACCTGGTGATCTTATCATGTGGTGAGGGGCGTCTTCGCTACTGGCTAAGTGCCAGTGGAGGCAGAAAGGATCCCATAGTTGGTCAAATTTGCCTCTGGTTTGGAGGGAGGAACACCATGTTCCCTTGGCAACTTGGCATATCAGTATGAGCAGGAAAGACATGCCACCCTGCCTTCCCACTCCATCATCACTGCCATCACACCTCGTCTAAGCCCTTCCTCGCCAGCCTATCGCTAACAGTCTAGTAAAATCGAGACCAGAGTTGCAGAAAAGACAATGACTAAGATAAATACTGAGTTATGGCCCTACGTAGTAAACAATGTGTTTTAATGTCTCTGGTGTTACACTGGAGCCCTTGAAATAGGAGGTATAGAGGAGGTAAGGTAATTTCTATCGTCAGGGAGTCAGGAAGTGTTTCAGACAAATTCTCAGAGAATTGATAGACATCACAGTCAATGACAAGAGTGTGGGGCGAGGAACCTGGATGCAGTGTTACACAAAGTCCATTTGCCACAACGTGAGTGGTTGAGGTTAGTGAATACATCTACAAATGCAGAACCTAAACCGTTGCTTCACACAATTCATATGGCCAGAAACCACAACTTACATACCCAAAATCCCTATCAACCATTCCTCATATTTAACTTGCATTTACAAACTTTACACATGTGCAAGTTTCACACCTATACCTTGTAGCTGGCCCACATGGCCAGCTATTCAACTATAACAGCCACATCATTTAAGCTCATCGCTCCACACTAACAAACACACTTCCTTCTCTCTTGCAGGTGAAAATGCCAAATTTTCTGTGGCAGTAGCATTGGTGGGAGGTAGGTATAGGGAAACAGGCACAGTTTCATACAGAGTCATAGAGTCATGGAGATATACAGCACAGGAACAGACCCTTTGGTCCAACTCGTCAATGCCGACCAGATATCCTAAATAAATCTAGTCTCATTTGCCAGCATTTGGCCCATACTCCTCTAAACCCTTCCTATTCATATTCACATCCAGATGACTTTTAAATGTTGTAATTGTACCAACCTCCACCAATCCCTCTGGCAGCTCATTCCATATACGCATCAGTCTCTGTGTGAAAAGGTTGCCCCTTAGGTCCCTTTTAAATTTCTCCTCTCTCACTTTAAACCTATGCCCTCTAGTTTTGGACTCTCCCACCCTGGGGGAAAAAGACCTTGTCTACTTACCCTAACCACGCCTCTCATGATTTTATAAACCTCGACCTCTGACTCTCCAGGGAAAATAGCCATAGTCTATTCAGCCTCACCCTATAGCTGAAACCCTGCAACCCTGGCAACGTCCTTGTAAATCTTTTCTGACCCCTTTGAAGTTTCACAACATCCTTTCTATATCAGGGATAACAGAATTTCACACTGTATTCCAATGGTGGCCTAACCAATGTCCTGTTCAGCTGCAACATGACCTACCAACTCCTATACTCAATGTGCCAACCAATAAAGGCAAGCATACCAAATACCATTTTCAGTATCCTATCTACCTGCGACTTCACTTTCAAGGAACTATGAACCTGCACTCCAAGGTGTCTTTGTTCAGCAACAGTCCCCAGGACCTTACTATTAAGATCCTCACCCCAAGGAGCAGATGGTGCTTACTAATACTGAAGCAGCTATGTCTGAAGCCATGAAGATAATGGTATGTTCCTATCTAATCCCTTTCCTCACACCACTTCTCCTTCAACCACAACTATTAGCTGCAGCATGTCTTGTTTTTCCACTTTTCCTCACCAGAGTCTTCATCTTGTGCATTTCTGCTTTCAGACACTTAAGGAATATAAACTGGTCAGACAGTGGTGAAGACAACCAATCACAGAGGGTGCTGGAGAAACTAAGCAGGTCTGGCAGTATCTGTGGAGAGAGAAATAGATTTATTGTTTTGAGTCCAGTGTGACTCAATTTCAGAGTTCTGAAACAAAAATAGAAATTGCCGGAAAAGCTCAGCGGGTCTGGCAGTGTCTGTGGAGATAAATCAGAGTTAATGTTTTGGGTCGAGTGACCCTTCCTCGGTTCTTTCAGTTTTCGTTCAGAGTTCTGAATCCCACCATGTCAGATGGTGAAATCTGAATTCATTAAAATCTAGAATAAAGAGCTGGCCTAATGGTGACCATATAACTATGCCTTTTAGGAAAGGAAATCTTCCATGAGACAAGAAAACTGCAGATGATGGAATCCAAGGTAGACAAAAAGGAAGCTGGAAGAACACAGCAAGCCAGGTAGCATCTAGGAAATCTGCTGTGCTGGTCTGGTCTGGCTACATGTGTCTCCGGAACCACAACAATCTGGTTAACTCATAACTGTCCTCTGGGCAATTAGGGATTGGCAATAAATGCCAGTGAGATCCATATCTCGTGAGCAAAAAAAAGTCCTTGCTTAAAAAAAATTAACAATACAGATAACGTTTTATAATATTAGTCATCAGCAGCTTGGTCATCATTGTGAGTTTTATTAGGATTAAATTTCAGACAATCTGCTGTGGTGGGATTGGAATCCCCAGAATATTCTGGATCACTAATACAGTGTCATTGCCACTATGCTACCACTTTCACCTACTGGAAGGTCTGCTGTGAATGTCAAGGAGTATAGAGGATTTCATCTCTAATTTGTCAGACGGCTTCTCACGGAGTCTTTTCCAGAGCAGAGATGATGGTAAACTGCATTAACATACTTGCCATTCCAGCTGAAGCCACCCAAAACATGGGTACTTATTCCACGTCAAGTTTAGACTGTTGCCATCACAGAGGCAGATACCAAAATGTAAAGGAGCTTGCAGATTTCAACAGAACTCCATCAGTTTGTCCTCTAACACTGCTAGGATTGTGGACGTTCTATCTTGGGGATGTGGCACTGTGAAGCACAAACCTGATGAATACCTTCAGGATGACGTTCGTGCTCCCACCACAGTCACTTTGCCAGTGCCTCTGCTGTTACATGGCTAATAGCCTGCCCAGATTGCTGTCATGCATGCTGAGATGGTGCAGATGGATAGCAAGCCTTCAAAGGCCAATGTTGCTCGAGGTCATCCTGCAAGACAATCTGTACCTCCCATCAGCCATGGTGCAGTCATAGGTGTAGCACTGGTTAGGATCATGAAGTCCGACAAAAGCATTGGAAGGACAGGCACCACAGAAAGCTCAGGGGTGACTGGTTACATTGGATGTTAAATGTTTTGGTTTATAATGTCTAGAATTTTGCTTTCTGACAGCTTTTATCCAGTAATGTGACCAGACAGATGCTGCCAAATTCTGTAACAGAGGGAAGATGGGACTGCTGGGAATGCAGAAAGGGTTCCATTCACAGTCATTGTAATTGGATAAGTTGCACGCAGACATTTCAGCAAAAAGAGAATGTGTTGACTACCTCCTTCTTTTCTCCTCTCCTTAATCCTTTTCTTGCTCCATTTCCTCATTCCCCATCTTCTCCTCAGCTGGCTACTCTATACCTGGTCACAAGGGCTGAGGCTTCAGGATAGTGATATTATGCAGCATGCACTCACGTAATGACACGTGCTCTGCCAATTACTGGTCGGCTCATCCAGAACAATCCATGCTGCAAAAACATTGTTTAATTATCCTATTGGACTGCCCCAATGACATTAAATGTAGGAGTATGGCTTTTGTTACAGGCAAACTGTCCACTGGAATCACAGGTAAGCTGGTCAGTGAAATGCTCTTGTAACCAAATAGCCACTACTTTTTGAGACAGTGGACTGTCTTAGAGCCAGGCACCAGGACACTGTAGATTGATGAGTGTGATGCACTGAGAATGGTCATACATTATACCAAAACAGAAATTGCTGGAGAAACTCAGCAGATCTATGAAAAAAAAGTATTAACACTTTGAGTTCAGTGACCCTTCTTCAGAACTCAATAGCCACGAAATCTGGTAGATTTGTAATTATTTTCACAATGAGAAAGAAATTTCTTATATTACTTATATGAAACTTTTTTTTTTACATATGGTTTATGAGAAGACATTTAGATCAAAAATGATTTCCCCTTTAAAAAATATTCTTTCAAATAAAATCCAATTTGAATCATTTAGCTCCAAGGGTTAGAATTTAGTTTGGCCGTAATTTGTTTATCCCCTCCCTTCCTTCCTGTCAAAGTGGCTACAAAAGCTTTCCAATATTTTGTTTAGTTTTCCCCTTAAGAAGATTGTTAACTAAATCCAAATTTCAATCAGACAGTTAAAACCAGACAGGATGACTTCCTACAGCATCTCTTCACAATACAGCTTCATTCTATTGATAGCTGTTACAGGTAAGTTAAACCAAATTGAAAGTTTATTTATAAGTTGAAATTAATTGTTTTGAATTGTGTGAAATTTTAGTATTACAATAATTATCATTTATTTTCTGTTCATTTTTAGGATGGTTTCTTACAGAAACTAGTGAGAATGTAGAGAATATTTACAGCGAAGCTGGGAGTACAGTACTCATAAATGTTTGCAATCAAAGCTTCAATATGGAAAATGACTTAAGGTGGTTAAAAGGGAGGTTACAAATAGTTGCACGATACCGAAATGGTTCTAAAGTGTATGGAAAATTTATGCATAGAGTTGAAGTTTTTTCAAATGGCACACTGAAATTTAACATCATAACAAAAGACGATGAAGGAGATTACAAATTTGAAGTACATAATAAGGAAGGAAAACTTCAATGCAGTCAAGATTTTAAATTGCATTTACTCGGTAAGTTTTTTAAAAAAATAGTTTCTGTACTTTTAAGAAAATTAAGAAATGCCTTAAGAGTTGTAAAATCGGGATCTCTAGCTTTCCAATGTAGCTGCACCTCTGAGTATCAGATAGGGTGCAATTCATGTTCAACTCTGATCCAGTATACTACACTATGCTTGTCCTGCTAAAGATTGCTTTGTTACAGTAGTCTGTTGTCAAATTTAACTTGATACTTGTCTGTCTTTTAATATTTTATTAATCCTTTAAAGGCATTGGATAATGTGGTGAGCACTAGGTTATTCCATTATTGTAAATTTGTAAGTACAGGGTCAATAGGGGTAAGTTATATCGCCATTGGAAGTGTATTATTAACCCTAAACAAAAATAGAAATTGCTGGTAAAACTCAGCAGGCCTGGCAGCATCTGTGGAGAGAAATCAGAAATGTTTCTGGTTGAGTGACCCTTCCTCAGAACAGTTCTGAAGAGTTCTGAGGAAGGGTCAATTGACCCAAAACGTTAACTCTGATTTCTCTCTCCACAGATGCTGCCAGACCTGCTGAGGTTTTCCAGCAATTTCTTTATTTGTTTCTGATTTACAGCATTCGCAGTTTGCTTGGTTTTTATTTAGTATTATTAACCATTTTTACATTTAGTTTGATTTTCTCTTCTATTAATCTTCCAAAATGAATTGAACCCCAGTGTTTTTCTTGAGAACAAAAACAAAGTATTGCAGATGCAGGTGAACTGAAATACAAACAGTGGGTACTGGAGAAACTCAACAGGTCTGGCATCATCTGTGGAAAGTGAAGCAGTGATAATGGTTTGAGTCCAGTATGAATCTTCTTCTGAAGTTATCCCAGCATTTTCTGTTCTTCTTGGGAATGTTAGCACATGATATGAAGAATAGAACAAGTTAATACTTCATCTCAGATCCATTTTATGTGAGAACAAATGTGAAAGCAGTTCAATGTTATTATGGGTGACAGCTAGGTTTATCCATCACTGTATACATGATGCCTATTGGGTCAAAGATTCTTGTACATGTGCAGCTCAATCCTCAGAGACATAATTTGCAAATTAGGAAAGCAGCTTGTTTTAGCATTTCTGTAAGCACATTTCACATTCAATTATAGTGCATCATATATGTGCGTAACAGCTCAGACTTGGCAAGGCTGCACACGGGTGACCCCTGTGCCAGCCTGGTTTGAGATGTCTGCATCTCAACAAAACTTTCACCTACTCAGGAGAAAAATCTTGGATTACTCAAAAGTCATACTCCAGCTCCTAGTTTCTATATTTCTAAATATAGGACAATTATGATACATCTAATCATATTGTGAAATATATATTTTAGATTCTGGTTTAAACACTTACTGTAGACATTAGAAATGTAAGTTTCAGAGGAAAAATGACACATCATAGAGTTTCAGTTGAAAAATTTTTAGAAAGCGTTTTGATTGTATTGTTGGAAAAAAGCTACCCAGTGACCTTATTCCACTATAAAATGGCAATGACATCAATAGTGTGGCAATGACTATCCTTGACATCAAGGTCACAATTGACCAAGTATGCATCAAGGAACCCTCGTAAAAGTATAGTTAACGGCAATCATGAGGACTGGTCTTTGCTGGTTGAGTCATACCTGGCTTAAAGTGTACACGTGATTGTTGTAGGTAGTCATCTCAGCTCAGGATATATGTGAAGGAGTTCCTCAGGTTAATGACCTTGGCCCAACCATCTTCACCTGCTTTAGCAATGGCCTTCCCTCCATCATAAGGTCAGACGTGGGGATGTTTGCTGATGATTGGACAATGTTCAGCACCATTTGTGACTCCTCAGATACTGAAGCAGTCCATGTCCAAGTGCAGCAAGAACTGAACAACATCCAAGCGTAGGTTGACAAGTGGCAAGAAACACTAATGCCACACAACTGCCAGAGATGCACTGCAGAAATTCACCAAGGTTCCTTACACAAAACCTTCCAAATCCACACCCATTACCATTTAGAAGGACAAAAACAGTAGTTACGTGGAAACACCATCATGTCCAAGCCACTTACCATCCTGACTTGGAAAATGTATCACCATTCCTTCAATGTCACTGGGTTGAAATCGTGGAATTCCCTCCTTAATGGCATTTTGGGTCTATCTAAACCAAATGGCCTGCAGTTATTCAAGAAGGCAGCTCACCAGTACCTTTTCAAGGGCAACTAGGGTCAGATAGTAAATATTGGCCAGCCAGGGACACCCATGTCCCATCAGTGAATTATACAAAAAATGTTTACATAGAAAATTCAATAAACGTAGACATAAGGATTTTTAACAGGGAAAGACACAAAGTGTGATAAAAATGTGAAAATAGGAAATCAGTATGCTATAAAATTCTGATAACATTTAGATATGGATGGATTACTTGATTACTTCAATGAGAAATTGTTTTGCTGATATCAGAACTTCAGTAATAGCATATAAATAATTACAAACATCTAAAAGGAAAACCTATTTCAGAATGGCCCATAAACAATTTGTACAGAATTTCCACTTTTTTTCTTTTTCAGAGAAACTATCAACACCGGTATTGAATATTACTTGTATCTCTGAGCGAGATGTGTTCATGTCATGTGAGGTTCGTGGAGGGATTCCATTTAACTTCTATTTGAATGACCAAAAACTTACTGAAGACAATGCTGTGTTTTCATCTGATGGAAAGAAGGCTACACTGAAGAATTCTACCTCTTTATTTGGCAATAAAACATTCTTCTGTAAAGTTGAAAACCCAATTAGTAAAATCCAGACTGCTCCAAGAGAACTTACCTGTACAGGTAAGTATAAAGCAATGTTCTGTGACTTCCTTTAGTAAAGAGAATATGTTTAGCAATTTTAAAATCAAAAACTTATAAATCAAATTTGAAACTACATTTGATGGAATACAGTAATTTCAGATCATCATTGCAAATATGAATGAATTGGCTGAGGGAATATGAAGATTGTAAATGGCCAATCAGTACAATTTCTAATGGTGTCAGCCTTGAGAAATAATAGGGGGTGCAGGAGAGGGAAGGGCATCTAAGGAATTAATGGAATGAAAAGCAATGCAGTCCAAAGAAAGGTAATACAATCTATTGGTTCTAAAATGCATCACATAACCCTTTTCTCTGACAGCTAATAGTTAGGGCACTGATGCTTGAATGAATGCACTTAATCACCCCTGCTCAGATGAGGCAGCTTGCTTCGCTTGTCAGGAGTTGATTTCCGGTAAATGCCATCATCAGTTTTCGGCACTGTTGCACTTCTGGCTATTTCAGAAAAAGTTCTATTTTCTGTTGAGCTGATGCGTTCTTTTCGTAAGGAAAATGCTGTACTTGTTGATCATTGAAAACAAAACGCCTGTCAATCTCTTGATGTGTTACTGTAAAGCAGACTAAGTTTTATGTATCACTGGTAGTGATTGACGTGATGCTTTCACGCTGTAGTGACCAAATTGCATGAAATTCTATATCATTGGGGCACATTCCTTTGAGTGATGATGGTGCCAAGAACTAACATTCCCAGAAGACACTGTCCTGGCAAATAAAGGCAGATCTTGAAACTGTCTACAGTTAGCTTTCCTGTTTATTGTCTTCATCTATTATGGACTGAGTATGTCTGTAATTCAGGGCACAGTATTCTGGATGAATTGTTCATGGAACTTGGCAAGGAGTGTTTTGGAAAAATGCAAACTGCTGCTGACTCCATGGATTCACAAAAACAATTTAGATTGTTTCTGAGATAACAAGGTGTAGAGCTGGATGAACACAGCAGGCCAAGCAGCATCGGAGTAGCAGGAAAGCTGACGTTTTGGGTCTGGACCCTTCTTCAGAAATGGGGGAGGGGAAGGGGATTCTGAAATAAATAGAGAGAGAGGGGGAGGCGGATGGAAGATGGATAAAGGAGCAGATAGGTGGAGAAGAGACAGACAGGTGAAAGAGGCGGGGATGGAGCCAGTAAAGATGAGTGTAGGTGGGGAGTTAGGGTGGGGGTAGGTCAGTCCAGGGAAGACGGACAGGTCAAGGAGGCGGGATGAGGCTGGTAGGTGGGAGGTGCGGGTGGGGCTTGAGGTGGGAGAAGTGGAGAGGTGGGAGAAAGGACGGACAGGTTAGGGAGGTGGGGGGGGAGCTGGGCTGGTTTTGGGATGCGGTCGGGGGGGGGTGGATTTTGAAGCTTGTGATGTCCACATTGACACCATTGGGCTGCAGGGTTCCCAAGCGAAACATGAGGTCCTGTTCCTGCAACCTTCGGGTGGGATCGTTGTGGCACTGGACTCCTTGTCGTCCAAGGAGTGGGCGGGGGAGTTGAAGTGGTTTGCGACTGGGAGGTGCAGTCGTTTGTCACGAACCGAGCGTAGGTGTTCCACAAAGCGGTCTCCAAGCCTCCGGTTGGTTTCCCCGATGTAGAGGAGGCCACATCGGGAACAGCGGATACAGTATCTCACATTCCCAGATGTGCAGGTGAACATCTGTTTGATGTGGAAGGTTTTCTTGGGGCCTGGGATGGGGGTGAGGGGGGAGGTGTAGGGGCAGGTGTAGCACTTCCTGCGGTTGCAGGGAAAAATTCCGGGGATGATGGGGCTGGTGGGGAGTGTGGAGCGGACAAGGGAGTCGTGAGAGAGTGGTCCCTCCGGAAAGCAGATACGGGTGGGGAGGGACAAATGTCTTTGGTAGTGGGGTCAGATTGCAGATGGTGCAAGTTCCGGAGGATGATGCGTTGGATTCGGAGGTTGGTGGGGTGGTACGTGAGGATGAGGGGGATTCTGTTTTGGTTGTTATTGCGGGGAGTGGGTGTGAGGGATGAGTTGCGGGAAATGTGACAGACACGGTCGAGGGCGTTTTCGACCACTGTGGAGGGGAAGTTGCGGTCCTTGAAAAACGAGGACATCTGGGATGTCTGGGAGTGGAATGCCTCATCTCGGGAGCAGATGCGGCGGAGGTGAAGGAATTGGGAATAGGGGATGGCATTTTTGCAGGAAGATGGGTGAGAGGGTGTGTATTCTAGGTAGCTGTGGGAGTCGGTTGGCTTGAAATGGATATCAGTTTCCAGGTGGTTGTCGGAGATGGAAACAGAGAGGTCCAGGAAGGAGAGAGAGGTATCGGAGATGGTCCAGGTGAACTTTAGGTTGGGGTGGAAGGTGTTAGTGAAGTGGATGAACTGTTTGAGCTCCTCGTGGGAGCACGAGGTGGTGCCGATACAGTCATTGATGTAACAGAGGAAGAGTTGGGGGATAGGGCCAGTGCAGCTTCGGAAGAGAGATTGTTCCACGTACCCTATAAAGAGGCAGGCATAGTTTGGGGCCGTGCGGGTACCCATGGCCACCCCCTTTGTCTGTAGGAAGTGAGAGGAATTGAAGGAGAAGTTGTTAAGGATGAGGACGAGTTCAGCTAAGTGGATGAGGGTGTAAGTGGAGGGGGACTGGTTGGGCCTGCGGGACAGGAAGAAGTGGAGGGCCTTTAGGCCGTCTGCATGGGGAATGCAAGTGTATAGGGACTGGACGTCCATGGTAAAGATGAGTTTTGGGGACCAGGGAATTGGAAGTTTTGGAGGAGGTGGAGGGCGTGGGTGATGTCACGGACATAGGTGGAGAATTCCTGGACCAAGGGGGAGAAAATGGAGTCGAGATAAGTGGAGATAAGTTTGGTATGGCAGGAGCAGGCGGAGACAATGGGTCGACCAGGGCAGTCAGGTTTGTGGATTTTGAGAAGGAGATTGAAACGGGCAATGCGTGGTTGGGGAACGATGATGTTGGAGGCTGTGGGCGGGAGGTCACCTGAGGTGATGAGGTTGTGGATGGTTTGGGAGATGATGTTTTGGTGGCTGTGGGTGGGGTCATGATCAAGGGGGCAGTAGGAGGAGTGTCAGAGAGCTGGCTTCTGGCCTCGGCGATGTAGAGGTCAGTGCGCCATACCACAACTGTGCCTCCCTTGTCCGCGGCTTTTATAGTGAGGTTGGGGTTGGAGCAGAGGGCTGCATGTTCTGTGGGGGAGAGGTTGGAGTGTGTGAGAGGGGTGGAGTGGTTGAGGCGATTGATGTATTAACGGCAGTTGAGATTGTTCTTTAGATTTTTCCTTTTGTGATGAAAGTACCAGCCTCCAAAGATGCTGATATGAGGTGCAAAGACCTAGGAGAAATAACAAGGTTGAAAGTTAACTATATGATTGACTGATCATTGAGCCTATTTAAGACTGAAGACCACAAACCATCCCATAAATTTAGCTCAACAATTTAGAAATCGGTAGGAAAAACCTAATATAGGTACATGTCTATTGCATTTTCATCCCAAATGTTACCTAGCTTTTTTTTCAATTCCTCAAAAACCCTTATTGTTCTTCACTTTTTAAGTGATGACAAGTAGCATACAGGAAGGATTTTGTATATCTTTAGTGAATAGTTTATAAGGCATTAATATCCTGCACTGCATTTCTAAGGCATATTCTAAAGCCGATAACCGCTGCAAATTTCTTCTGATTTCCTCTGACAAGTATTACCCTTGTACATAATTATCCTTTTCTATAAAGTGTTGATATCCAAAACTATGCAAATTAATAATGTATTAATCATGGGAACTCTGTGGTAATCAATACAATGCCATTCTGTTATATCTATGATTAACTGCACGCATTGCAACAATCTAATCTAATTAATATAGGCCAGATATTTTCAAAGAAAAGCCTAAAATCTGGAAGCTTACTCGTTTTCAGTTTTATTTTGGTGAAATGAATGAAACATGAAGAAAAGTGTGCCCCTGATGGAATCAATTTCCAAGTACAACAGGATGCGATGATGTCTGTCTAATTGCCACCATGGTTGTACTATGACCTGCAGCAAAATGAGAATCAAAACAGCATTAACTTTGACTGCATTTTTGAGTCATGACTGAGACATTAGTCTGTCTCAAACAGTTAATTTATATATTTCTAGAACGATCTCTGTAATGTTGTTGGTTCTTTTCTTGCATATCCTAGGAGCTTTAGCTCCCTATAAACTGATGGGATTTTTGTTCACTGATCCTGATAAGTAGGTTTGCAAAATGTATCCAAAAACATAGAAGAGGTTCAATTTTGCAGCCAACAGTGAAAAACAAAGCTTACTGCAGACTTTTAAGCAAGCTGCTAGGGCCTAGCAATCTCTCACTGTAGATTTCACTTTTCCAGATGTTTATTTGAATATGAGGCAGACCAACTGGATCACTGTGCATCCAGAAACCGAGAGATCACACAGGAAAAGCAGCCAGTCACGTTGCAGTATTCTTACCAACATTGAATAGGGAAGTAAAAAGCAATGAAACCCTTTACTTTTTTGAAAAAAAAGATTGACATATTGTGAAATAAATAATTTGAACATATACATAAGTTAAGGGAAAGGCTAATATATCAAAACAAAAAAGCATTAAAAATTCATGGAATTTCATGCATGTTAGAGGCATTTAATATTCACCGCATTCAAAACCATTCCTTCAAGGCCAGTGAAGCTCTTTAGTGCTCTTATGAACTTTGTACATCTTTAAAAATGCAGTTCACCTCATTCAACAAGATGCAACATTTTTTCGATAGGGTTTTGCATTAAGACTAATAGCAGAAAAATTGAATTTCTAAGCATTCTATTATCACCCTGATTGTTCCTTAATCTCACCTCATTAATATGCAGTTTCCATTCACCCATATTGTGGAGAGAAACGCGACACTGAAAATTTCTGAAATGAAAGAGAGAGCATTTAACCTGGTGACTTCTACTCCTCACTTGCTCCTCCTGACCTCTACCTTGGACATCAGACACCAACATCTCAGGCATC